TAATGTTAGACAAATTATTAACTTATTAGAGTATCTAGAAAAGAATAACCAAGTCTCTGCAGGCCTGATATTTTTGGATGCTGAAAAAGCCTTTGACCAAGTGAATTGGCAGTTTATGTTATGTTTAATTAAGGAGATGAATTTTGGACAAAATATATTACAAGTATTATCTAATATATATCAAAAACAGACTGCTCAACTTATTGTAAATGGGGGTTTGTCAGAGGCTTTTGTAATAGAAAAAGGAACAAGACAGGGATGCCCGTTATCTCCGTTATTGTTTGTTTTAACATTGGAAATTTTGTTGATTAAAATTCGGGAGTCTCAAGAAATAAAAGGAATAGAAATTAATAAAAAAGAATATAAATTAAGAGCCTTTGCAGATGACTTGGTTGTTACTCTGTCTCAACCTACCTGTTCGGTGGTAAAATTATTACAATTGATTCAACAATATGGATGTGTTTCTGGTTTTAAAATTAATAATAATAAGACCAAAATATTAGCTAAAAATATGACTAATGGTGATAAACAGGTTTTAGTTAACTTAACAGATTTTGAAATTGTTGATAAGGTAAAATATTTGGGGGTCACATTATCTGCTTCTAATGCAAAACTGTATAAAAATAATTATGAAAAGCTGTGGATGGAGGTACAGAAGGATTTAAAAAACTGGAACAATCTACAGTTATCCCTTATGGGTAGAATTGCAGTTATCAAAATGAATGTCCTGCCAAAGTTTATTTTTTTGTTTCAAATGTTACCTATTTTAAAGAATGAACGTAATTTAGATGAATGGCAAAAAGGTATTAATAAATTTGTTTGGGCAGGGAAAAAACCAAGGGTGAAACTTAAAATAATGCAAGATTTTCGTGAGAGAGGAGGACTCAAGGTACCAAATATGAAATTGTATTATGATGCTGTAGTATTAACATTGATCAGCGACTGGGTGAATTTAACAAATATAGAAATACTTCATTTGGAAGGTTGGGACTTACTTTTTGGATGGCATGCCTATTTAATATTTAATAAAAAAGTGGATTGGGTTTTTAAGTCTCATATTATAAGAATCTCTTTGCTTAGAGTGTGGAGAAAGTATTATAAAAGTGACTTCAAAATACCATTATGGGCTATACCTCGGCATGCCATAGAAGGCATAAGGAAAGGGGTTAATATGGATATGGTCTCTTATGCACAGTTACTTAGATGGGATGGCCAAGATTGGCAGTTAAAATCTTTGGAAGAATTAACGCATGAAAATTTAACTTATTCATGGTTCCAATACAGACAAATAGTGGACAGATGGAAGATGGATTGTAAAATGGGCTGGCTTAGAGAAGATGAAGCTCTTTTAAAACAAGTAAGAGATCAAAGGCCAACCCATATTAAGAGAGTTTATGGGGTTTTAGTGGAATTGGACTCAGAACCTGAATTAGTTAAAGATTGTATGATTAAATGGGCACAGAATATTGGTGAAACGATTTCAATGGATACCTGGGAACTTATTTGGATAAGAAATGTTAAATTCACACAAGCGCAAAATTTAAGAGAGAATTTTTATAAGATGTTTTATAGATGGCACCTTGATCCAAAGAAAATGTCTATTATGTACCCTAATCTGCAGCCGAAATGCTGGAGATGTGGACATTTGGATGCTACTTATTATCATACTTGGTGGACGTGTAAGCATATAAAAGCTTTTTGGATTAAGATATGGTGGAATATCCAAAGAATTTTTAAACGGAGGGTAAAATTTACTCCGCAATTATTTTTACTAGGTATTGTTACTGATTGTGATGCTAAGGAGGTTATATTGATGTTAAATTTGATTACAGCCGCTAGGCTGTTAATAGGGCAATATTGGAAGAAGGAATCCTTGCCTACTTTGCAAGAGTGGTTTCACAAAGTTTCGTATCTGGCAGAAATGGCAAAGATTTCGGCTTTTTTAAAGGAGCAATCTCAAGAGAAATTCTTTGCAGTATGGGAAAAATGGATAAATTTCATACAATATAATTTGGATATGGAAAAATACCATTTAGCTTTTTTATAACTTGTAATGATTGTTTTTTCCTTCTTTCTTTCTTCCTTTTTTCTTTACGTATTATTACTTATATATATTTTTTTTATATATATGTTCTATTTTTCGTCTACTTTTTTCTTTTTTCTTTCTCTCTCTCTTTTCTTTTCCCTTTTTTTCTTTCTTTTTTAGTATATATTATTCATTTTAAAGCTTATGTTATGCATATTATTATTATATATATTATTATATATATTATTATTATGACCTTTATTATTTTTATTAATTATCTTATAAATTGTAAACGTTATTTTTTAAAATTTGTTAAATAATCCTATATTCAGTTCTGGGAAGTCGGGGGGGGGGGAGGGTGGGGTGGTTTGGGAGGGGGGGGGATGTTTATTTGTAAAATTTTTGAAAAATTTCAATAAAAAAAAAAAAAAACAATAAGTACATTTGAATGAAAGCTTGCTGAATTCCCCTGCATCAAAACGAAGACTCAACAAGCATAATGGGCTTTTACACTTCACAATTGTTAATTGATAAGGTACTTAGTCTATTTCACATGTAACCTCAAACTGCATAACCAATCGTCTTCCTCTCTTTTCCCCCACTCTGCATGTTCCCAATTCAAAACCTATATCACTTAGTTACTCCACCATGCCTATGATAGTAAACTGTAGTTATAATAGCTTATGCCTTTTAGTAACATTTATTATTTTTGAAAAGTGCTACAAAACTCCTAATTTTTAGTTACTGTAAGACTAACTGTAAATGATATATAAACACAAAATAATTACAGGTAGTCCTTGAAATAGGGCCATGGACTCATTTAATGATCCCCCACCCCCCACTCTCTCTGATGCAGCTGTTAAACAAATGCATGGGTCATTAAGCAGAGCATGGGATGCTTCAAGGGTGGGGGAGGCTTGGGAGGCCTAGTACAGGCCAGGGCCACCTGCCCTAGGCCTCCCAAGGCTTTCCCCCTTCCCAAGACCCCATGCTTCACATCCTGCCCCTTGGGTGTCTGCAGGTCTTTTCTTCCCCACCAGGCCTGATTTCCACTTCACCAGGGTTCACACTTTCCACCTCACTTACTTTTTGAAGTTCTCTGGACCCTATATTGAGGAAGGAAAAGAAGCCACACCTCTTTGATCTATGTGGCTGCTTCCTGGAAGTGGTCACTATTTTCACTGTGCCCCCTAGTTTGCAGCTTTTTGTGTTTCAGAAGATTTCTGCACTACTGTGTAGATAACATTAAGGCAGCTTTTCAGAAGCAGCTGTCATTTTGGCTTGCTTGCTATTCGCTGCCATTTGGGGGATGGACAAACTACTTCAATTTGCTGCCTTAACAGGGTCTGCACAGCATTGGAGAAGCTTTCTGTAGCTGCAGAAAGTTTTTGCAACATTGTGCATATGGTACTAAGACAGCAAAACAGAGTGGTTTATCCCTGGGCCACCAAGTAGCCTCACCAAGCACCCACCATTTTGGTCCGCCCATGTAGGTGAGCCAAAATGGCAGCCACTTTCACTCCATTTTGCTGCCTTAACAGAATTGCAGGTGCACTGAATATGATGGCCACTTCAGGAGGTAGCCATGTGGCCCAGGGATGTGTGGCATGACCTCCCTCCTCAAAATGAAATCTGGAGGTTTTCAAATGGTAGGTGTGTCATGGTGATGGGTGTATGAAGAGTAGACCAAAGCCTTCAGAGTCCTGAAGTGGCAGGATGGGAAGGAGAGAGGTGGGAGGCACTGCAAACATCTGTGCAGTCATAAGGTTGTAAGGGTGAATGACCTGCAGGAGTGCTGCAGCAGCCATAACTTCGAAGTCAGATCATAAATAGTTGGGGAGTCTGGTGCAACTGGTTGTTAAGTGACCAGTTGTACCTCAAGGGCCACCTGTATCTCAGGAGATTAATAATATTACATTGAATTTATCTCAATATTTTAAAATCATCTTTTGACTCCTTTTTAAAATAAAAACTCCTACATGTTTTATGGACATAGTAATCTTATATAAAATAAGATTTCTGCTCTCAATTTTCAGTTCAAAATTGAGATTTCTAAACAACTCTGAATTTGTTGATATAATATTTTGTATAATTTATGGAATTTTGCAAATGAAATTTCATGTCAGTGATGACATTATTGCAATAATATGCATTACAATTCCAGAAATTACTCCTTTTCATCCCCTTTCTGCAGTAGTATTCTAGCTTTACATTATTTTTTTTAATATGGAAAAATGCAGTAAAACTTTTTAGAAAAGTAAAGTCATACAATTAAAGTGCTTTTGTGTTTTTAAACAGATATGGAGAACATAAAATTGATCAAAAGTTCTAAAAAAAATCAGTTTGTTTTCCAGTCCTGAAAACAGACAATGATAAAAAAGAGTTCTATAAATTATTGCCTACACACTAATATGACAATGCTGAAGATATTTCAATCCAGATTTCAGCAATGCAATGGAATAAGAACTCCCAAAATACAAGCTGGATTCAGAAGGAGAAGAGGGACAAGAACTAAATTGTCCTGCTAGGAGAGATGTCTTCAGATGGGGAGAAGTAGCAGCAGTCGTATCAATGGAGTTTCCCGCAGTTCTAGAATCAATGATACATTCTGATTTTGACAGACCCAACAAATTCACAGGATCCCTCATGTATACCCTCTTTTAAACATTCAAATTCAGTAGTTCTGCTGCTTAGTCCTAGGATGAGACATTTAATGAAGTTGTACCTTTATACAGAGGAAGCTGTTTCCCCACTTCCCGTCCCTCCCAAGAATATTCCAAAACCTATAGTTCTTTTATCTCAGATATTTTGCAATTGGACCAAAATGAATATGAAGAGTTGGTCAACTCCACTGTATCTTTTCCAAGAGATAAAAGCATATATACCATTTGTTTTGGAATAAGCAGAAAGGTTGAACAGAGATTCAATAAAAACAATGATAAAACAGCTTTTTCAAGTTCTTATTAATACTTACTTGTTTTATCCAAAGCAAAGATGATAAATAGGAGTAAGATGGTCTTCCTCATAAGTCAACCTCTGAAGTTTATGGGGCTACCCAAACCAATAATCTTAGAATAGCAGTCAACTACTCAGCAGACTTCAGAAGAAAGAAACAGAAGAAAGAAACAGAAAGCCTTTGGATTCTTGGAAGGGAGGAGTAAGAGCAAGAAAGAACATTTGTGCCACAGCGTTATACGTTATCTAACTCTTGAATAAGAAGAGCAATAAAACTAGGCTGGAAGAAGACATAACACTTTGGCCTGCTGGATGCCCTTTGTCAAGTCTTGGGATTGTAATATTTGCATACTATATTTTATTTCCTCAATCTGGATTGAATGGGCTAGTACTATTGACCTGAAAGGATATAAGCGATTAAATACATATTTATTTATTCAAAACATTTATACAGCTACCCATCTATCAACCAACTCTGGGCAGCTCCCAATCAAAAGTGAAAAGATATAAAATCATTTAGCCTTACCTATTAAAACATTAAAAACAACAAAAATCTGTGCCAATCTGTTCCAATATGTGATTATCTAATTTTCTCCTAATGCTAGGGGGAAAAGATAGGTCTTTAAAGCCTTTCAGAAGGTCAAAAGGATGGAGGACTGCTGAACTTCAGGGGGCAGAGTGTTCCATAAGGCAGGGCTGCTATGGAGGAGGCACTTTTTAATTCCCATCAGATGATAATATTTAGGGGAAGGGACTAGGAAGCTTGTCCAGCCTATTTGACCTGGTAACACAGTAGAAGTCCTTAGGAAAAAGTGATCTTGCAGATAGCCTGGCCCTATGCTATGTAGAGATTTAAAGAAGAGGTAAACAGAAGACCTAACAGAATCACAGAGTTGGAAGGGACCTTTGAGATCTTCTACTCTAAACTCCTGCTTAAGCAGGAGATCCTATAGCAGGGGTAGGCAACCTTGGCTCTTTTAACTTATGGACTTCAACTCCCAGAATTCTTGAGTCAACATAGCTGGTTCAGGTATTCTGGGTATTGAAGTCCACAAGTCATAAAAGAACCAAGGTTGCCTATCCCTGTCCTAGACCATTCTGAACAAATGGTATCCAATCTCTTCTTAAAAATCCCAATGATAGTGCACCCACAATTTCTGAAGGCAACCCGTTCAACTGACTAATAATTGTCACTGACAGGAAATTTTTCTTAGTTCTCAACTGGGTCTCTCTTTGATAAATTCATATCCATTGCTTCTTATCTTGCCTTTGAGTGCTTTGGAGAATAGGTTATCCTCCTCTATGACAGCCCCTCAAATATCGGAAGACTGCTATTTAATGTCATCTCTAGTCCTTCTCTTCATTAGACTAGATATACTCAGTTCCTATAAGCGTTCATCATATATTTTAGCCTCTAGCCCTCTAATCATCTTCATTGCTCTTCTCTGCACTCTTTCCAGAGTCTCAATATCTTTTTTGTATTGCAGTGACCAAAATTGGATGCAGTATTCCAAATGTGATCTTATTAAAGCGGTATATAGTGATGCTAACACTTCATGTGATCTTCCTCTGTTGATACAGCCTAGGACTGCATTGGCTTTTTTGGCAGCTGCAACACATTGCTGGCTCATACATAATAATAATAATAATAATAATAATAATAATAATAATAATAATAATAATAATAATAATACGTGGTTGTGGGGCTTGTGTACTATGAGGAAGATGAGAGCTATGCCAGAGGTTCAACCATACTGGACAGGTATAATCAGAGGAGTCAGACAAAGAGTGTCTCTCCCATAAAAAATATGGTGAGACGTAAATTTCAGAATGCCATACCGGCTCGGACGTCACCCGAGTTAACAAGGTCCGTGCTAGATATTGGAGTTCCTGGATATCTGGTGAAAAATGGGTTACAGGACTCAGGACTGTTGGCTGAGCAACCAGGGCCAGCAGCTGAAGAACTACTGGAAGAAAAGGTGTTTACCCGTCGCAGATACACAGTGATGGAAAACAAAGAAATAATGATCTGTTACTACAGATCAAGTCCAACAAGACGAGGATATCTAAAACGAATGCACCAATTCTGGAAAGAACAACATCCAGAATCAGAAATAACAGAACAGAGACTAGCAGATCAACGCCGATTTATAACACGAAATAAAGTATTCACAGAAACAGAATTGGACGAACTGCAAAGGTTTATCCAGGGCAAAGAAATCAAAGCCTTACAAGAAGTAATTCAGAATGTAGAGGCAAACCAGGGGGAGTTGGCAGTGAAAGAATCCAGTAGAGATATACAACTGTTCTCATTTGGAAACCAGGCACCTCTTCCTCAGGAAGAACAAAACCCTCTAACTAAAGAAATAAAAGAATTGAAACAAAGAATAATTGAGCATCTAGAACAGCACAAAAACAACAGAATAAGGCTGCCTGCATTGAAGCTTGTTCCAAAGAAACAGCTAGCACAAGCATTAAAAGATGCAAATACTGCAATAGCAAGTATAAGCACCAATTCACTGCAAGAAACAAACCAATTAATGTACAGCACAGCTGCAGTTATAACAGAATACCTGGGATGTAAAATCAACAAAAAAGAAAAACAAACAAACAGTGCACCACAAAAATGGAAGGTTAGACTAGAAAATAAGATCAGCAAGTTAAGATCACATGCAAGCAAGCTAGAACAGATGAAAGAAAAGAAGCTGAAGAACAAGAAGACCAAAGAATACCTAATCAAGAAATACCACTTAGAAACAAGGAAGATCAAGGAAGCACTGGAAATAATAAAGCAACAAATAACAGCTATAGCCAGGAAAATCAGTAGATATGAAGCTCGAATTGCAAACTATAGGCAGAACCTCCAATTTCAATCCAATCAGAAACGTTTCTACCAATCCATCAATGGAGAAACTGCAAGGAATCAGTCAGTACCTGACAAGGAAGAAACAGTGCAGTTCTGGAAGCAGATATGGGATAACCCAAAGAAATACAACAAGGATGCGGCTTGGTTAAAAGAGGTGGATGCAAATAAAACAGAAGTTGAAATGAAAGAACTAGTAATAACAACAAAAATGGTAGAAAAAAGAGCAAAGAAAATCAAAAATTGGTCAGCACCAGGTGAAGATGAACTGCATGGGTTTTGGTTGAAACATCTAACTGTTATACACCCACTCATTGCCAAGCAGTTCAACAATATACTACAAGGAGGAGAAATTGAAAAGTGGCTAACAACTGGGAAAACCTACCTAATAATGAAAAATCCAGCAAAAGGGGCAACACCAGGTAACTACAGGCCAATTACCTGCTTACCAACAACTTTCAAATTACTGATTGGTGTGGTAGCTGATGCAGTATAACAGCATCTAGTTGAAAACAATCTTTTTCCACCTGAGCAGAAAGGAAACCGAACCAATAGCAGAGGAACAAAAGATCAACTCCTAATAGACAAAATGATCTTGGAAAACTGCAAGAGAAGGAAGACCAACCTGAATGTGGCATGGATTGACTACAAAAAGGCATTTGACTCTCTGCCTCATGATTGGATAATCAAGTGCCTAGAAATAACAGGAGTCAGTAGAAACATCAGAAAATTTGTGCAAAGATCGATGGCACAATGGAAGACACAGTTGCAGATCAATGGTGAGAAGCTGGGAGAGGGTTAATATCAAGAGAGGAATATTTCAAGGAGATTCATTATCACCATTACTATTTGTTATTGCACTGTTCCTCTGTCAACAATACTGAATAACTCAGGACATGGCTATCAAACATCAAAAACATCTGCCAGACTATCCCACCTCCTTTATATGGATGATCTGAAGCTGTATGGAAAAACATCATCTGAAATAGAATCGCTGCTCAACACTGTCCGTATATATAGCCAAGATATTGTAATGGAGTTTGGCTTGGACAAAAGTGCCACACTTACTATCAAACAAGGAAAAATAGTGAAAACTGACGGAATCAAGATGCCCCACGAAAATAACATTAAGAGTCTGGATGAGGAAGAGTACTACAAATACTTGGGTATCCTTCAAGCTGACAACATCAAGCACACTGAAGTCAAGAAAAAGATTAGAGGTGAATACATCAAGAGAGTGAAGAAGATCTTAAAATCCAAACTCAATGGAGGAAATACCATAAAGGCAATCAACACCTGGGCAATCCCAGTCATTAGGTACACAGCTGGAATAGTGGACTGGACTCAAGCAGAACTAAAAGCAATGGATAGGCAGACCAGAAAAATAATGACAATGAATCATGCCCTTCATCCACGCAGTGACATTGATAGACTTTATCTACCAAGGCAAATAGGTGGGCGTGGAATGCTACAAGTACATCAGATGGTTGAAGAAGAAAAAATGGCTTTGGAAGAATATCTGAAGAACAATGATGAAGATGCACTGAAATTAGTATATCAGGAAGGCTTACTAACTACTGGAGAGACCAAACTGGCCTACAAGAAAGACCAAATGAAGAACAGAATAGAGGCATGGGAAGACAAAGCACTACATGGCCAATACATTAAAAAAAATAGCTGGGAAAGCAGATAATAACAAGACCTGGCAATGGCTAAGAGCAGGAAAATTGAAGAAAGAGACCGAGGGACTAATTCTGGCTGCACAAGACCAAGCCTTAAGGACAAATGCATACAAAGTCAAAATTGAGAAGACAGCAACAGACAGTAAGTGCCGCCTATGCAAAGAAGCTGAAGAAACAGTGGACCACTTGGTAAGCTGTTGCAAGAAGATTGCACAGACTGATTACAAGCAGCGGCATGACAAAGTAGCAACAATGGTGCATTGGAAGATCTGCAAAAAATATCATTTGCCTGTAAGCAAAAACTGGTGGGATCATAAAATAGAGAAAGTCATAGAAAATGATAAAATTAAACTGCTCTGGGACTTCAGAATTCAAACAGACAAGCACCTGCAACATAACACCCCAGACTTAACAATTGTCGATAAGAAAGACAAAAAAGTCTGGATAGTGGACGTGGCAGTGCCTGGAGATAGCAGAATAGAAGAGAAAGAACTGGAGAAGATAACAAAATACAAAGACCTACAAATAGAAATAGAAAGACTGTGGCAAAAGCAAGCAAGGGTAGTACCAATAGTCATAGGCTCCTTGGGTGCAATCCCAA